TTATAGCTGTGTATTTCATCTGTCCAAAAATGCACGGCTCTGGATGTAGATTTCACCAGGTTGTTACTGGCCTCTTCTTCTGCTATTCTGGGTGGGACTTCTGGGTGGAAGCCTGCGACAAAAAATGTGGAGCATGCACAGAGCGCCTGGGCCAGTTTGGGTCTGATTGACTGCGTACATGCAGGAGTAATTCCACTCCCAGTTGCATTATCTGGGTGTGTTGGTCCAACTTTGAGAAACTTGATTTAGTACAATTTCAGTCTGACTAACATGTTTACTTATATTTTAAAAGTCCAGTTTTAGTCAGACTAACACAATAAATCGATTTTCTCTTAAGTCATGTAAATGTATTGAGTTATTGCAGGGCTGTTTCTGGTTTAACAAAAGGTCTGCCTCTGTAGGGATTCTCTCCATGATGTTGCCACTTATAATAATAATAATCTGAGCCTGTCAGTAGTAAAAACACACTTTTATAGGACGTAAAGTGATGGTGCCTAATTGCCCCAAGTGGTTACATTGCAGCATGTTTTGCAGCTGCTGGTTGCAGCGCTCTCGCTCAATGCTGGGCCAATTTCAAAAGTTGTTTCCATGAGTCCCTTAGACACAGAAACATGAGAAAATAGGGTCCAGGTTGGAAAATACAGAAGCTACCCTTTAAGGTATACCGAGTAATGAGTGTGATTTGTATACAGTTTTATTTCACACATCATACACAAACGTATATCATGTTTTTAGCCCTGATGTGATGCACACACACAGATTTATTCCTTAATTATGTTGACTGTGATTACCATCTGTTAACCAATTAAAAGAAGAATGAAAATCGTCTTCTTACGTAGACTGAACCAAATACAAGACTGCTTTTTCTGACTTTTTTTTTTTTTCATCTTGCAAAAGGTCAAGAAGGAATAACTCAGAATGTATGTTCAGTCTCAGAAATAGCCAGCTCTACACAATTACAGAGTGCATATTCATCTGAATATTTTCATTTCTTTGGATATGGAGAAATAACAAGGTAAGCAGCTGGCTGGTGCTTTTATAAGGCCAAATTAAAGATAAGCACATCCAGTGCTTTTCTTAGAAACTGGCTTCATATTTTTTCACCTTTCAGTTTATTTCAACTCAAGTAGGCAACAGACTTGTACATGCCTTATATGCCAGATAACAAGTTTACATCTGCAGATACAATAATATGCTGCATTTACTGTATATGTTAGGAAAGCAAACTTAAATTATCATAATAGGGTATGTTTTTGATAAATAGCTCCCTGAAAAGCAGAGTGAAATGTAATAAAATGATTATGTTATTGTTATTAGATCACTGCTTTGGTGTTAACAAGTGCTACAATATTGCCATAAAAATACATTTATTTCTCTCCATGGAGCCATGGCACTTGTCTGGAGTTACCTTGCTGTTCTTGTAGGCACACTTCACATTACCGGTGTGTATCTACTGACATACAGGAACTTCTGCTTCCCCTCAGGTTGTACAGTTTGGATGGCTGGCTCAGCATTTCAGCCCGTGACTACAGCAAGTCATTTCCACCCAGATGGTATGACTGTATTATTTTTGATGTGTAACTGTAGGAAGAGTGTAATGACTTGAGGAAAAATGCTGTGTTGCTCGAAGACAGTTGCTCTGCTTTTTGCGCTCTTGGAATCGGCACAAAATCAGGGTGCTGCATCCTGGTACACTGGTAGATAAAACATGTAGAATGAACGTCATAATTAACAGTGATGACATGTGACATATGAAATAGTTCAATAAAATAACAAAACAAAAGGAAATGGGTAAAAAAAAAAAAAAAACATCACTAGATGGGATTATTGTAACATCATAATAGAATTACAATATATTAGCAAAAATTCTACCCCTCAAAGGGATAAACTGTATCCTTGGTGTGAAACTTCATTATGTTCACACCAACAAAACTTCACTTGGTTTGCTTTTGTTCCTACTACAGTTCACATTCATGTTTATGTGGTCCTTCAGAACAAGGCTGAGCTGGACTGTTGGAACCAGAGTAAAGCACTCTGAATATTGAAGTATATTGATCCTCATTTTAACATGCAGGTCATCTATTTACCCACATTGCACGCTCCTCTGTAAGCACAGGATGTGATACAGCTTGCATCACAAAACCAATACCTCACAGTTGGGTTTCTCTCAAACAGCCCCCATGTTGAGCCTCTGGGGTTGTCGATGTGTGGAAATATACTTTAGAGAAGACTGACATCTGCAGACCATTTGATAGCACTGCTGTTTATCTTGTGTCCCCTGGTTGTTTAAGGGGCAAGTAATTCTTATAAACATACAAAAATCACCCAGTTTCCTTATGACATTGTTATGACAATAATGAATAGAAGAAATTGAAGAAATTCAGAAATGACCCTGTTTCCTGTTCAATTACACCTGTTTCTCAAACACATACACCAGTTCTGCTTTGCTTTTATACAATATTATACCACTAGATGGGAGTGTTGCTCTCAACAATTAAACGTGCTGCAAGTACACCATGTACAGTACAGCCAAATGCTGTTTAGAAAACGTTAAAAGGCAAAGGACAGCAGAAAAGTAAATTGTGAGTAGTTCTTTTTAAAGTGAAAACTTAAAAGCAGTGGAGGAATGTAACTAAGTACATTCACTCAAGTTCTTTGCTTAAATACAAATTTGAGGTACTTTTTTTTTCTTGAAATGCCACTTTATTCTTTCACTACACTACATTTCAGAGAGAAATATATATGAGATCTTTAGACTACTAGTTACTGTAAAAAAAAATAAGATTTTTGCATAAATAAACATAGAGAGAGTTAATGAAATATGATGTTTTGCTCTAAATTAAACTACCCAACAGTTTATACAATTACAGCTGAAACGATTAGCTGATTAATCAATTAGGCAATTGACATCAAATTAATTGGCATCTATTTTGATAAACATTTAAGTCAGTTTCTGATTTTTTTTATATAATTTTAATTTATTTTATTTTTTGTAATAGTTTTTGAGTTTTTTTGGATGTGCTGTTATTCTATTTATTTATTTATTTTAATTTATTTATTTGCTTGATTCTTCTGCATTGGGTACTTTAACCTAAATAATATTTTAACTGCATTTTCCTGATGCAGGACATGTACTTAGTAGCAGAATATTTTCACAGTGTGGTAGTAGTACTTTCATATAAAGGAACAGTCATCTTACTTGTAACGATAGAGATGTTTTGTATGTTGTCATGACAACAAGTACATAAAAAACAAGTTTATTTTCCCGAGCAGCAATTTCCCAGTAAGTAGATCCTACCATTTCAAGCTCAGCAGGCTGATATTGAGCAGTTAATGTTGAAAGTGGATACTTGCTGACCGATAATGCAGTTTAGTTCAATTGAAGTTTTATGTACATGTGACGTCTGACTAAAAAATAAAAAAAATCAAAGCCTCACAGTGATGTCAAGTAACATAAATGGAGTGTAAATAACGAAATATGTGAACAACAAACAGGATTAAGATCAAAGAAATGAAAGATTGCTGCATTCTCTTTGTTCTTATATGTGACTCACTTTCACAGTGACATTTTCCTCAAAGGGAGCAATATGATGACCTTTCACCATGGTACTTGATGCCACATCTCCAGTTTGTGGAAGTGAACTGCTAGTGTGACCGGCCAGATATATCTCATCTGTTGCCTCGAGAAGCCTGGAGAAGTATAAAAGGGAGGTAATCAAACAGTTATCAATACTGGACTGTAAGTTTGTGTGTGTGCTTTTCATGAAAACTAATGATGGTTAAATAACTTTATGACAAGTATGTATAAATATTGATGTTGTTAATTTTTATTATAATCATTATTATTACAATTAGGCCTATTTCTAAAGACAACTGTTATGCACATTTTGATTATATGCCAGGTGATGAACACAAAAGTCATAACATCTTTGAATTACTAACTTCTAACGGACTTTATTTGTCTTTTTTCCCTTGAATAAACATTGACATTTGTCCTCAAAGCATTCATGCTCAGCACATAGAAAGTGCTGTGTGTAAGCCTTCTAGGTGGAGCATGACCGTCACTGCCAAAGGATGAAATTACAGGCTTGCAGATGTTCTGATGTGTTCAGACAAATGGTTCATCCTACCCTACCACTTAAAATCTACAGGAAATAAGGACGTGCTCTCTATAAATACTTTCCTTGTACCATTTTGTTAGAAAATGAATGATGAAAAAGAAAACACAGTTTGTCATACAACTGAGGCACATACTTTAAGTCTAGCACAAACCAGAGAAGACAGAATGTCTCCATGTAAGTGGCACTGACAGAAAGTTATTTTTATCTCCATTGCAGAAATATGTTGTCGAACATAAAAGCAAAATCTTCCTCCCATCTCTGTCTTCCTCCCTCCCACCCTCCATAAATGATCTTATCTGGGTTAGCATCCATCTTATATGACCTTGAGCAGCTGGGCTACTGCTGTGCTTCTCATTCTGATTACACATTAGAACTCCCAAAAAGCCTTTTACTATTATTATTTTTTCTTACACAAATAGATTGCATACTCTTTAGGACGGGTGGGCTATTTCATCACAAATTAATAAGCAGAATTATTGAATTATTTATAATTTAATTTAAATTAATATACTTCATTAATTAGATGTTTATATTTGCGTGTTAAACCGTGCTCTCATTAAACTAATCCAGAAAAACTCATGGTTTTATTGCTGTTCCCTTGGTAACAAGCAAACCCTTGCCCTTTTAGCCTACTGGCATTCGTGTGGGTCGTACCACTTGGTTGCCGTAGGGGGGGCTGTCATGAGATATAACCTATAAAATGACCTCCTTTGCCAGAAATGATTACGTTAAAATCAACTTTATGCATCTACCACTCTGATATAACATGGTGTTTGCTGCTGCTTATTCTAAATGCGGTAAATTCAATTATCGACATCCTTTAGGTTTCTCAGCGCACCCCGGGAAACCCCGTCAGCACATCAAACTGAAGATCGTACAGTAAGCTGTCAAAAGCTTGTTGCTTAAATCTGTGCAGTGCTACAGTAAAGTAATGAGGAGACGAGGTCGAAATATCGGGCTGTAATTCTGCGAACAGAGCGAGAATTAAACGGGTTGTTGGACAGACATCTCGGGGGCACTTGACATGTTGTTTTCGTTACTTCAGCTGGGGCTGCCGTGTCGTGTGTCCTAGCTGGTGCGTGATTGCTGTTTCCTCTGGGAAGCGGTTCATCCGTGATAATGAGGTAAGCAGGTGCACTCCTCGGCTAACAGTGAGGCTAACGTAAGCTAATAACCGTTAACGTTGATGTTTTTATAATGTTAGCCGCGTGACAGCGGTGTCCTTAGCTTGCTAGCTAGCTAAAGTAACGTTAGCCGAGGATGAGAATGCGGATAAGAGACTTGAATGCTAACTACCCTCGAAGTACCAAACTGTAAATAAGACGACAGTGTCACGTAGTTGGCTGTCATTGTAGTGCTGTTGTTTTTTCTGCTGTTTGCTAATTGAGAGACGTAGCTGTAACGTCAGGTATATACAGTTATATGGGGCGAGACACCATTATCAGACAAGCCAAATTCGCATTTCCCCTTCTATGAAACATGGACAACCAGTTTCAAACCATTTTAATTATTTTATAACAGTTTAAAACACAATAACAATCACACAAGTTGCATATAAGCTATGTTTTAACCTGCCTCCAAGTAACAGTGCAATATTTGTGTATCCTCTCATCCTTACCACTGTAATGTATCTAGACTGTGTCAGCAATACACAGAAATAAACATCTAGCTACAATTTAAACTGGAAAAGGAATTATACTTGAAATACGAAAATCTTTATTGTTATTGCACAGGATACAAAGAAATTAAATGTGACATTCAAGTGATGCATTACACCAAAGAACATAAAAACACAAGACACAGGACATTCAGAGAGTGATAAAAATGCAAAAAATAAATATATATAAGAGTATTTAAAGTGCTTAGTGGATGGCAGATTGGCAGTAGAAAACATTTGATATTTGTGTGGGACAGAAACTGTCTCTGAGTCTGGTGGTTCCTGTTTTGGCAGCTCTGTAGTGTCTGCCAGATGGCAACAGTTCAAAGTGTCGGTGACCAGATGAGAGGGGTCTTTAATGATCTTACCATTAATACCATTCGCACAACACAAACTAAGCTGGGCAACAGGATGTTAACCTCTGCTAAATTTACGAAAATACTGGAAATGGTTTAAATATTAGTACTAAAAAGTAGTGATGCAGCTAAGTGGCAGAGCATGAACCCATATTTTACTGCAATAGCATTTTTTACACAGCGACCCTTGTGGTCATTGTGGAGTTTGTCTTGTCAATCTTTTTTGATTTGATTTTACATGAAATCCCTTTTTTGAGTGACTGTGTACATATCAAATGTCAGCATGCATCACAAGTGAATGAATTATGTTTGCATTTTTGCTACATCTAGGTGTAAAATCTTGAATTAACACTCAATTATGAAGGGGGCTTGCAGAATTTTTGGACATGAAGGTGCTAATGTTACATTAAAGTGCATTACAAAATATTACCAAATTTTGTACAGTGGGTAAGTTACATTGCACAAGAAATTACATGTAACACTTTAGCACACATTTTATTGTATCATTATAAGAACCTCCTCCATAGATCATATCACTCCAGTTTCCCAGCAACTTGACTGGCTTCCTGTTAAATATCTCATCAATGTCAAGATTCTGCACATTCTCTCACCTTCATAATCAAGCCCCTTATTACCTGTCTGGACTCCTTCATATCTACACACCCTCCCGTACTCTTAGATGCTTCTTCTGCAATCCAACTCACATCACCATCTGCCCACTTGACTACCATGGGTGCTAGAGCCTTCAGCCGTTCTGACCCCCGCCTCTGGAACTCTCTCTCCCACGACATTCGTTATATTGACTCCCTTAACACCTCCAAATCCTGTCTGAAAACACACCTTTTCAAGCTGGCATATATGGTCTGATTTAATGGTGACACACGTATTAAGACTTGCACTGATGATGATTTTATAATCATGACTTTATACCCATTTTTTTTTATTTCTTTCAATTCATTTTAATTACTTTTATTGTATATTATGGAGTTGTTTGATTTTATGATCTATGGATACATTGGTGCTTGTTTTTTTAACTGTGTCTTGTAAGGTGTCCTTGAGTGCTTTGAAAGGTACCTATAAATAAAAAGCATCACTATTATTATTAATATTATTATTATTTTAGAAGTGAAGTGATGGTACAACAGTAAATTTGATGGTGCAAGACTGTACACTCCTTAAGAAAAAAGCTCTCTGATGTCAATATTAAAACCAAGCTGGCTTATTAAGGACTTAATAATAATAAATTGAATTAGACACTTACTGAGACTATGACAGATCTGCAAATAATGCTAAAGGGAGACTATTACATTGGTCTATATTTACAGAAATCTTACTAACTTACTTACAAAGCACTGTGTTAGGGCATACATTTATGTGCTATATATTCTGTATGTAGTTTCAGTGGACAAAAGCTGTGTCGAGTGTTAGAAGGAATATGATTTCTTAAGTTTATACTTGCTCTTCGTTGCAGTAAGGCAAGATCAGATGTTGAATTCAGTCTCCTCTTTAATAATAAGGTTTACTAACAGCTGAAGAGTCGGCAGTGTCTTGCTCCGAGATGTGCACACACTGTGCCTCAGCTCCTGGCTTTCCATTGGCTGATTTCTGACTGGGAGGGTCTTCCTGGGGGCCGGCACCCAGGCAGGAAGAGGGGGTGGCTGGAAATGTTTCAGCCAGAGTTGGACAGGCAATCTGTTTTTACTGTTGTGAAGAGAAAATCTTTGGTCACTGAATCGGTGGGACAGAGAGCTGGATAAGAGCTGCTGCTGTGGTCGTTATATTAACAAGTTAGCTGCTCAAAAGTAGCTCTAGTGTAGAATCTTGGTCGGGAACTGAAGTTCTTCAGTGCTACATGAAGTGAGAGAGGTAGGTGTTCTTGCTCTGTTTCCTGACTTGCGCCCAAAGGAATTTGCTGCAGTATGCTGTGGGATAGCATGCAGTAAAGCTGAGCGGCAGTTATAGCAGAAGCTCTGGCTTAACAACAGTTTATTATGAATCTGTGCCTTTTGAGTCTTTGTACATTTGTAGATCATGTTACTTGCTCTCAGTGGACAGACCTCTCAACTCTTGTACACATTTATTCAGCGCACAAGTTAACCACCTTTTCTGCCTGCTCAGCAACTTCCTGTGTGTTTTGTTTTTAGTATGCTGGACTATCCCGTCCTGTTTTTGACTTCCAACGTGATGTGTGTTTAAGCTTTGTCTTGCTTCACATGTATTCTGTATTTGGAGGGCCAAGAGTCAGCATATCTGGCAGTTGCAATTTTGGCACAGAGTGTTCATGTTGTCCTGCAGTATAAGCAAATAGAGGGTAACAGTGTAATGGAAAATAGGTTACAGTGAGCAGAGAGGCAGCACAGAATACACTTGTGATTCAGATGAAATTTAGTTTTAACTGGTCTGTTTTTGTCTGTACTGATCAACAAAATTTGTTACAAACGTAGTTTAACATGCATTTAATGGCTCTATGGATTTGAGCTTTGGAAATGTTCTTGTACTGTTATTGACTGATAGACTGCCATGACACCACCCAGCTACAAACCCCAAGCTAGCACAACAAATGTGTCTCTCTGTTTGAAACATGCTTATGTTTTTATTGAAGAGGCACAGTCTGGAGAAATCAAATAAAATGTGTAGACGTAATATCAGATGCCCAAAAACCGTCACATCATTTCTGAAAAGTGGAATGGTCCGTCAAAAATAATGAGCTTGTCTTCTCTGCTAACTAGCTACATCTAACATTTGGCTGAGAAATCATTTAGATCTTTATCTTGAGATTTGTGTGTGCACAGGGCAGAAAAACAGAGAGAGAGAGATCAACATGATGAGGAGTTATTATATAGTGAACCTCAAAATCACAAAAAACAAAATAATAACTGACAGACTTTGCTGCTGCATGTTCATAATTCCTTTCATGAGAAACACAGTAGTTTATCAGGCTGTATAATCAATGCTCTGCTGATCAATTATGAATATTGTGGAGTAGTTTAGAGCTTCAGTGTCTGACCTACTGACATATAGCCTGCAGTATTTCATATATACAACCAGTTTGGGTGAGGGGGGACTTCCTTGTTTCTAATCAATGCTTCTTTTTTTTCTGGAGCCCTGTGGCTTGTGTCCCCTGCTATGAAACACAGAGGCCTCACTGAGATGAATGAGGAGAGTTTTGACGCAGTGCTGTTGTCAGTCTGTGCGCAGCCTAACCTGCAAGATGCTGACTGCTAGTTTAGTAGATTGTTGTACAAAGTATAATAGTGCAGGGTGTGTGCAGGTCCTGGAAATGTCAGTTTTATAAATTTTAGGTATTAAAAGTCATTAAATAATCTTAAATTTGAAATTGTGAGGTAATTGCCACAGACATGTTATGTAATTTTATTTATCCACCTTTTAAGTTTTAATTTGTAAAAATCAGTCAAGCTCATCTGCGTAAAAGTCCACATTTCTGATGTTACAAATATTTAAACCAGCCACTGAACTTAATACCGTCTTTTTTAACATTATACTTTTTATCTGTTGGCAAAATGTAGGTTTAGCTAACCCACTTTAATAACCATATTCCTACATAAAACCTACCTCTGCACGTGACCGCATACTTGTACTACTTGCCTTTATACTTACCTTCAACGCTTAAATAAGAAAGAAAGATGATTTGTCCAAATATCTGTTTAAAATTTGGTTAAAAATTTATCTTGAAAAGGTCTTGAAAAGCACTCAATTTCAGTGTCTGTCAGTGTTTTGCTTGCCAGGTCTGATCTATTAAGAGCTGCAACTAACATTTATTTTCATTGTTGATTATTTACTTAATTAATTAGTTAATTATTAAGTTAACAAAATGTCAAAAAGTAGGGAAAACACACCTTACCAGAGTTCAACGTGTCGTCTTCAGATATTGTGATTTTTGCAACCAACAGTTCAAAACCCAGACGTACAGTTTATAGTGGCATAACAGAGACAGAAGCAACAAATGCTCACATTTATGAAGCTGGAACCAGAGAAGACTGGACTTTCCCTTTAAAAAAATGTCAAACAATTAGTTTCTTGTAAGTCTAACATGACTAAATATAACTGGACTAATTACAAAACATCACATTTGTTATTGTTTGACCTAATCTGCTTTCTGCAGTAAACTGCTAATGAACAGATGACTCTGGGGAATGAACAGCCTCTAGTGAATAGAAGAAAGTACATGTGATGACAATGTTGTTTGTTTGGTTACAATATCAGTGATATATGTTTTTTTTTTTGTCTTTCAGATCACCATCAAAAAGTGCCTTTGAGAAGATATCCCCGTCTTGGTCTGTCTACATTTCCAGCCTATGCTTTCTTTAAGGCCAGACTCAAGCACCAACACAGGATACCTCAGCTGCAAGCCCTTTGCCACCTCTCTGCACAAAGTCAGCACCTAAAAAATGCCAAAATAGAGCCATAATATAAGAGGACAGAGAATAATGACCTGAGAATTTATGACTAAAGTCTGATATTTATAGGCACCCTCATTTGTGGATAATACACTTCCTTTTGATGGGTGATTTCTCAGTGATTGACCAGCCATCTGATCTGTCTGCTCCAGCTGATGGCGCACTCACTAGGTTGTTGTGAAAGCGGACTTTGCACATAGAGCCAACCCACAGCTTTTGGTCTATGAAGCACACTGAGATTGATTGAAAAATTAAGTTTATGATTATAACCTTTGGACATGGCGTTGAACATTTCTTCAGTAAGAGACACAAAATGGCTGACTCTGGAAGTGTGTCGACAGTTTCAGAGAGGAAACTGTTCTCGTAGTGATGAGGAATGCAAATTTGCGCATCCACCCAAGAGCTGCCAGGTTGACAATGGGAGAGTTGTTGCCTGCTTTGACTCACTGAAGGTAAGAAATACTGCCCATGTGGTATATGTGTGACACCTTAACCTCTTATATGCATTTATGGACAACTAAAACATTTTTAGTTGTAGTAATTTAGTAAGTATACAACCTTTTTGTTTGTCTTGATAAGTTTTAAATTTTTTGGGATTACTCAAAGTGCTTTTGGGGACGCAAGCTAGTGTCCCATTAAATACAGTTAAACCTGCAGGTCTGCTGAGCTAACCAGTGAAAAAATCAGGACATGGGTTGGGGTGTGAGTTTGGAAAATCATGTCTTGATATTATTCTTGGGCGCTATCGATTTTTCATACCTTTGCACCTTGCACACATTTAATTGGGGTATACCAGGCCCCCAGAAACGCTGCTCAGCTTTGCAACCATAGGCCTCCATTATTAAAGTGACCTCAATAAAACTGTTGACAGGACACCTCAAACTGCAAAGGAGGTCAATTATGACTCTTTCTGCTATGAACTTAAGATCCATGGAGGTTTTATATTTGCAAACCTCTTCTGGAGCTGAGAAAAGTGTTTTAAAAATCTATGACATCATCACAATGTAATGGTTATGGGCCAAGTAGGAACTCGCAGGCGGGGCCAGCAGGAGAAACACTACTGCACATATTCAGTGGGCCACATACCACGGCAATAAACCCAGGAGCTAAAAACTTTATGGTGTATGCACCAGGTGAGCAACTCCATTGGAATGACTAGGCGCCATCTTGGCATCACGTGTCAAGGTATTATGTTAAAATATGGGGAATGCCTTATATGATGTTATTTATGGATTTTAAAAAAAAGTACTCGTGAGCTACTGTTATTAGAAGTCATGTAGCATATGTCATTGTTTAGCCTAATATGCAATTAGCCTACCTTGACAAGCCTTGCTGGGTTTGAATACTTTAGGCTTTAGAATAAAGAATAGATAGGAAAAAAGCACCCTTCTTGTTGGAGGAGCCAATGACACTTGCTGACGTGGCGGATACCAAGACATCAGTGGGCTAAACAGAGGTGATGTGTAGAATTAAATCACGTGGCTAATAAACTGCTTAATGTTGGAAGGTGCCATCTCAAGATAAAGTTATAATTGGCAATACTTGCGAACAATTGCAGAGGCATTTTTCTTTTTCACTAGTCCTGTAACGTTATCCCCACCACTTGCAGTGGCCATCTTTCTCCACTCAGCTGCCTGTTCCACCGGTAGAGACTGACCTCTGCTGATGTGTGTTGTGCATTACAATACATTGCCTCAATACAGCATCTCTGTATCAGTCTAATAGAAAGAGGAGCATCTGTATTTTTGACAGTATTGCAAATCATACCTTCTGCATTTATAAATACCCCAGTATGCTGTGATATCTTGCTACCACCCACCCTAATTCATAGTTTTTAAGATTCAAACATACTGTAGAGTATTCAAAAAACAGGATACAAACAAGACTCTTTTTTTCTTCCTTCCCTTCCTCTTTTCTGAGTGTTGATAATAGAGGAGGGAACAACTACTGTCAGTTTAAACCCCACCTAATGGTTAAATCTCAAGTTAACCCCTCTCCTAAATTAAAATGCTCTCACATCTAGCTTTTTGCAGAAATATATCAAACCCCAGAGCAAAACAGCAGTCTCAGACCTTTATCTTGCATCGTGTGTTGCTGCAGTGTTTGTGACACCATACCACACATTTCCAAAAATACAGTAAACACCTGTCAGATGTTACTCTCATCACTTATCTAATGTAGATTATAAAAAACTCTGTCAGCCATTTGGATTACAGCCAGTTTATTCTCCCGTTTGCTCAGTTGCCCTGAATGAGACCAAGGCTGTCTTAATCCACTCTCACAGTCACTATCGCCACACAATGCAGCTTTGCCCCCAGGATTATTCTCATGTTGAGTCATCGTCTTATCTCCTTACTGTAGGCAGTTTATACACAGCTTGTCCAGACAGAGGGCCTGGTCTGTGCCCCTGCGGACAGGGGCCTGGACTAAAGGCTTCAACGCAAAGTAGTTACCATATTCCTTTATCTAAAAACAACATGAGTTGATTCATCTTGTTAAACAGATTGTCAAGGAGGAGTAAATACAGTTGGCTACAAGTTATTTTGAATAAGTAAGTTGCTTTTACCGTTTTGATTAAGTTTGATATAAATCAAGTCAGTTTATTTATATAGCACATTCAAAAACAATGGGTGTGACCCAAAGTGTTTTCCAGGAGAGGCAGATACGTTAGGATCTGCCTCAAGGTACACATGATTAAAGCAATAAAGGTGCATAAAAGGCATAAATTCATAATGTAAAACAGTAAAATTATAATTAGAGAGACTAGAAATAGTATAAAACCAACAACTAGCATGATAAAAATCAAAGTCAAAGTAATAAATGGGAAGTTAAGAGAAATTGAATGAAGTAGACAACAGATTAAAAAGCAGTAATGGGATCTTAGAAATAAGTTTAGCCATAATTTAAGGCTCTCAAAATACTTTTAAAGCATTAAAAGCTTATTGCAGATATGTCGTTATCAGTGTATATGTCACCTGATAAATGACAAGAAATGGTTGTTAAAAAATGGAAGTTTGTTTATCAGCAATATGTTACTGCTTAGTTGGACCATGTGCTGCTTTGATAACATGCCTAAACATGCCTCATACTGTACTTAGAAGTATGTAATGAGAGATATTTCTACAGACTAAAATGTGGCGTATGTTTGTAAATGAACAGTAGAAGAATAAGAATACAACAGTTACACACAGAAGATGCTGAATCCATGTTGGCACTAAGTGACTGAATAAAGTTAACATCAAGCCTAGTTTAATTGTATTTTAACCTAGAATTACAGCCTGTAGTGAGGATGGAAATAAAATACTAATACAAAGTTACCAAGTGCTTTTCAGTAATAAAACACAGCAGATAAAAACCCAAAGAACAATAAAACAACAATAAAATAAAATTCAAACAATAGAGGGATCATAAAATCAGCAGGGGATAAAATAAAGTTTAGAAAAATAAAATGGCCAAGCAGAGAGGATAAAACCCAGCAACATATTAAATATTCATAAACACTTTCCTGTAAGAAAAATGTTAGCTAAGAGGTCAGCTAGCAGTTGTTGCAGTCATGTGATGATGTCACGGCTCATCTTTGTGAATAGGCTTTTGTCTGAGGAGTCATCAGATGTCTGTTACCAATATGGCTGCTGGTGTAATGTCAGCTGGTACTAACTTATTAGCTTCACACTCAGACAAATACTTACTTGGCTTGACACTGTTGGCATTTTATTGACAAACAATTGCTGTCAAAGTTCTCTACCCGGTCAACAATTACTCCAAACAGAGTTAACTTGAATATGCAGAGGAATGTGCACATGCTTTGCCATTGCAACTAGTATCTCATGACTTCTATTAAAAGCAGATAAGAGTCTTGTTGATACACACATCTGACTCGAGTTGCTTCCTGTGACCAGCTCTCATTGTATTTCAACTCTGTTTTATACAGATCGGCAACAATGCCTCTAAACTATAAAAAAGTGAAAAGCTGCAAAAGAGTTGTGAATACGTTTCCTCGTATTTGGGTATGACTAAGCCCTCCATTGCTGTGGTGCATAAACCTTTATGTCAGTGTAATAGTTTCATTTCATACTCTCAAGCAGCTGTAAACTAGAAAGTTAACACACTACAAATTTCAAAGGGGGTGAATACTTTTTATTGGCACTGCATTTTCTCCAAGCTTTATACTGACTAATGAAACACTGATGACAGTAAAACCCTCTCTGAAAATAATTAATATGAATCTCTTGGGAGAGATGCAAATGAGGTAAAATTAGTGAACTTAATTGAAGGATTTGAATACGAAGGGCAGAGGAAGGTAACCTCTCATTAGGCTAATAAAGATGCTTGATTAACAGAAATTGTGTTGGTAGGCTCATTTTAAAGTCTAAAAGGAGATACTGGATTCCCGCAGCTGGCAAGCTCAGGGACATCTTTTGTAGCCAGTCAGCTTTTTCTAAAAGTCTCTCTTATAAAAGCTACAGCACAGTTCTAAAGGAAGCATTGTGTGTTCATGTAATTTATTCTCCTTATGTAACTGTCTATTACATTTATATTGTGTGATTCCATAGCACATCATCTACATCCACAGCTAACATTCAGTGCCAGTGTGGGAAATGGTCTTTTCTTTATGTAGAAAGGTGATTCATATAGAACAACCATAAAATGAAATGATAGGGAATAGGGCTGCACAGTATGAGAAAAATATGCAGTAACATTGAATATTGTGATAACTGTATAACTAACAATTAGGGGTGCATAATTTATCAACCAAACATCAGTTTCAGCCATTATTCGACTTATTGATTGTCATCAGTCTATCGGCATGACATTTAGAGATGGCAGTGGCCGATGTTTTTCTGTTGTCTCACATTGATTATGCACAGGCTAAAAAGCTGAGCTCGAGTCCCATCATCACGGGGACAATAGAAACATTTTTGGAGATCTTCACCCATGGTGCCTTAGAGATGAAAGGACAAAGGGGATGCACCCATAGACTGTTTAAATAAATGGACAAAGCCACCGGAACGTCACCCATTAGTTTGTGGACTGCTGATTTGAAATGTAAATGAGTGAGTTATCTAAAAATTTCCCCCTAGTACAGTTGTCATTACTGTTGAAATTAGCTATAGAGACCAAAACCGTGTTTTGTACCAAGCAATAAACATTTCTGCTGTAATGTTGGGCATTTTAACATGAGTGGCGCCTCTGGAGCCAGCCTCAAGTGGCCATTTAAGGAACTGCATTTTTTGCACTTCTCTGTTGGCTTCATTTTTCAGCTCCGAAGGTTGCCGCTTAGACGCACTCTGTTGTTTTCCTGATAATGCTACGCTGTGGACAACAGACATATTGAAATCAGCAGGAGGAGAGCTAGCTAACGTTAGCCGTCAGGAGTTGGTAGCCAGAACTGCCAGCTGACGGAGGTTGCATTGAGTTACACTATGATATGTTCAAGCTCTATTCAGTAAAAATGAGTATTGAAATCTTGAGCGTTCTTCATGACTTTTTATTTATTTTTATTACAGGGCCGATGCTCAAGAGAAAACTGCAAGTACCTTCATCCACCTTCACACTTAAAAACCCAGTTAGAGATAAACGGGCGCAACAACCTCATCCAGCAGAAGACAGCCGCAGCCGTGCTTGCCCAACAGATGCAGCTCATGATCCCAGCACCCAGCCTGCAGTCTGTGGTAAGCTCCTCAGAGTTTTTAGGGAAAAACTTCAAATTGTGTTGTGGTGCTTGTCTCGCTTATAATATTTAACATTTTCCCTCATAGACAACATTTCCTGTTACGCAGGGACTGAGCACAAATACTGGTCTTGGTTATGGTTCATACATGACGCCCTTGAGCCATGGAATGAGCCTCATCCCAACAGACAACCTCTCCAGCACCCAGGTTCTTGTGACTGGGAGCCCACCTGTCACAGTCCAGAGCTCCTCCTCCTCTTCCTCCTCTTCTTCTTCTTCTTCTCCCTCACAGAAGCTGCAGCGTACAGACAAACTAGAGGTATTCATGCACCACAAGGAGTGATTTAACATGACAAAATACATCAGTACTTCTGTGGGTTAACATATTCTGGCTACGTGCTGAAAAGCTGAATTCCTGTCACTCTCTCTAATTTGCTCCTCTCAGGTGTGCCGCGAGTTTCAGCGGGGAAACTGTGCAAGAGGGGAGACAGATTGCCGCTTCGCTCACCCCAGTGACAGTCCAATGATTGACACCACAGATAACACTGTCACTGTTTGCATGGACTACATCAAGAGCCGCTGCTCCCGAGAGAAGTGCAAGTATTTTCACCCGCCTGCACACTTGCAGGCCAAAATCAAATCCAGTCAGCAGCAAGTCAATCACACAGCTGTGGCAGCCCAGGCCGCAGCTGCAGCCATGGTAAGACTGAGCTTTATCCTTCTGACCACTGAAAAGTCTTCTAGTTTGCACAGAAAACATTATGCTGCCAATAATGCGGTGGTTTTAGGTGTAACTGTGTTTGCCATGACATCACTGAATGTGGAGCCCTATATATTTGTATGATATATAATTTGAAACTGCAACAAAGCAGGAAGTCAGTGATTGGATTCATTGTTGAACCTGTTTTCCATCTTCGGTTAAAACTGCTACTTTAAGGTCAAATTAGTATTTCCAAGACCAAGGCTTTTCAAAGTTTGACACTGTCACACCCCTCAGACAATAACGAGACAACTGCGCACCACCCACCACTCCCAACCCCCCTGCTTGTAAACAGGAAGTATAATTAGTTACACTTTGGTCTACAGCTCAAGCCCTGTGCTTTTAGCCTATGTTTGTTTACAGTTTGGTAATTTGGCACCAGTAAAAGTATGATGAAGAAGCTGCTATTTCACGTGCTTACTGTGCACCCACTGATGTACAGACAGCAATCAGTGGATTACTTTGATACTAAAGAAAGCTTAAAAACGTGATGATATTCAGGCAGGTTCTGGAGTTGTAGTGAGTATCTTTTTTCTCTGATTTCCCCCTTTTATTAGAGTAGTTTTTGGACATTTTATGCCTGAAGTAGTAGTGGAGAAAGTAAAGCAATTGAGGGTTAAGACAGTAGGGAAATGGCCTGCAGCAAACAGTCCAGCCAGCCAGGATTCAAACCAGGGGCTTACAGCTCAGGGCATTGGCACCATTGTGGTATGTACCCTAACCACTTAGCTATCTGGTCGCCTTTTTTCTGTTTTCTTAGGGAATTTATGGACACTAAGTCATGATGGACATCAAAGATAATGATGTCCTTGGAATTTTGCCAAGTTGTGACTTAGAGGAGTGTCGGTTTTGACTCAAATTGTAAGCAAATCAGCAGGCCAGACCATAATAACTAACTTCCTGTTGTTTTTAGAACCCAGTATCTTTGCCTAAACATCTCACACTTCATAACCACTTAACTATCCCATGCACTTCTGGGGAGCCACACACCTCAGAGTTTGAAAACTTCTAAATTAAGTTAAAAGGAGTTTTAGTCATAAAAGGAAAATCTGCACCTTGTCTTTATTGATAATTAAGAACATATGCCTGTTTTTAATCCTGTTTACAAACACTACAGATGTAAACAGACCTTTAATAACATCAGAAAGCATTACAAAGAAGGATGCGATGAGATTAGATTTATCAAGGATTAGTCCGTGCATTAAAAGGCCTGTCAATCATATTAAGAGCGATAAATTAGTTTTTATAATGGAGCTGACATTTCAAGGCTTGTGCTTTCAAACAGGCCCAATAAAAAGATGTACATTTTCTATGTGGGCACATGCGCCAGATGCTCCATAGACAGAACCAGCACTATATTGCAGTTCACTGAGAAAAGGCTTGTTGAATAGTTTTATTATGTGCTATACAGTATGAATCATTGTAATGGCTCAGCTTTAGGATAACTGCCTGCACGGAAAACTGCACAAAAGAGCATAGTCATTATATATTCTGGACCGCACTGACATTTTTTACTTCATAATTTCTGCCATTTCTTTTTGCGTTGTTTGCATCTTAAACATTTGTTGGCTTTAACATTAACTTAACTTTACCTAAGTTGCTTTAAATGTAATGCATGTTCAGGTTTCTCACTTACTGTGTGCCATTTTGCTTCAGTAAAATGAGCTTCTTTGTCCTCGCTGCACTCCTTAGACCATCTACGTCACTTTTTATGTGCATCGTATTTTATAGTTTCTTATCTTTAGGCTGCATATTATTTTTGTTGTATTTTAGGCTCACAGAGGCAGTATGTTTTGTTGTGCACAGTATAGTACACACAGTAGAGGGGGCATCTGCCATTTCACTAACAGCCTTGGCGTGAATGTAGTAAATGGAGCTCCACATTCTGTGTTTCATGACATTGCATACATGGTTGTTTCAGCTGTTGATTTGTGATGTTGCCTTTGGCTATCTTTCATAAAAGTCATTTTTCATTTAAAGCTGGGGGAGGCAGAAATCTTGAAAAGGCACCCTCCTCCTGCAGCCTTTCTTTCTCTCTTTTAAGCCCCTCCCACCAGACAACCATGGGCATACGCACACCCTTCATACAGTAACCCAGTGTTTCCTGTACATTGATTTATTGTGAAGTTGCAGGCAGCTCATTCACTTCAGCCTTCCTGCCCCACTCTCTCTCTCTCTGTTTATCAAACCACGAATGATGCAACAATTAGCTAGCTGGCCACTCCACGGTCCCTCCGCCTCACTCCCCGCGGCTGTGAGCAGGAGAGCAGGCAGCAGCTCGGGAGACAGACCTTCAGTTGGTGGCTGTAGCAGCTCAGATTGAGCTAGTGCAAACCCCCAGTGTTGGGTGTTGCAGGCTGATGGCCAGCAGCTGCGCCAGGTCCAACCTGTGTAACGGCACCCACATAAAATTTGCTGATTCGGTCAGGGCTGTAACAGCAAGCTGGCTGGATTCAGGTTGCTGTAGCCACTGACTGGATGTCAGTCTCCAGAGCTGCTGCCTGGTCTCTTCTCGGTGAGGTGGTCTGTAGTGGCAAGGGTGAGGCGGTGGACACGCTGTGATTTGAGGCTCTAACATTAGGTACATGAACATCAACATAAAACACACAAAGACAGAAAGTAAAACCAGACATGACACATGAGGAGTGAACCTACAACAACAGGAAACGGACTAAACATGAAGGAATACATGAAACAAGATAACAGGCTACATACAGAAAACCCAGGATCATGACACTGAAGGGATGTGCACCTGCTTCTGCATTTGTTGAACAGCCAATGGGAATGCCCTCTGTTTGAAATGACCTGTGATTGGCTAAAGTCTCCAACATGGCCTAGATTTTCTAAAGCCTGAAAACAGAGCCAAGTGGAGGTGCAAAAGTGTAGTTTTCGCTTAGTCCACTTGAATCACAATATACACAAAATGTATTATGGGATTTCAGCCCAACAAGGCCTAAATGAAACTGTCTATCCCAGTTTTAACAATAAAAATGTTCAGTACTTGATGTGCATTACATTGTCATCCATTCCTGAAACCTGTAAAAATCAATGTCTGTATTAGAAAAATACATAGGGTGCATACTGTAGTTGCACTGTTGCATCATGGTAGTGTCTTGATTACAATTAACAAACCCTGATCAAGAAATGTTAGTGGTCAATATACAATGTGAAAAAGTATACAAGCTTGTGCCCTACTGTGGTAAATCTGTGTTACCAAAGCTACTGATTACCTGCACATGTTGACCTACTAATGAAGGAGGCTTTAGTTAGCGTGTCCTTTAATCAGTTATTTTGGTCACTGTGCATGCATATTGTGTTTTATGTCGTATACTACATTCAGATTATTTTGTTTTTGTTTTCCCCTTCTCACCTATCCACAATGCTGTCCCCCATGACGCACCTCTGCTTGCTGTTACCTGTATGTTAAACGCTTGAATCCCATTGGCCCACTGCCATCATGTGCTCTCTGCCTGCTATTAAAAGACTCAGTCGACTGCCAAAGCAATGAAGCGATCCCTCGAGGCAACTGTAGACCTGGTATTTTCACCTTTTGCTTTGGTTGTAGCTATTAATTGTACTGTAATAACTTTTCATTTGTGTCATTATGGTTTAAAGCTTCTTCAAGTCTCATATAGTCTTTGTGTACACAATCATCATCAGTAGCTTTAAGTGCATAATTTGATAGATGTTTTAAAAAAAATTTGGTTGTTTCATTCATACTTGTATCCTAAAACATGCTTGATTTATGTGATAATAGTCTCCTTAATGTGTAGCCATGTTTGCCGTTTTCCCATATTTTTGTAAATGAATACTAAATATTAAGTGTTCAAATTGTGTCTGAATTGAAAGAACAGATAGTTTTGGTGTGTCATGTCTCCTTGTTTCCTTCCAGGCCTTTCCCTACAGTGTACCCCTACCAAAGAGACCAGCTTTTGAGAAGAGCAGCTTGGCCAGCTCTCTCCTCAGCCCCAGTTTTTTGCACTACCAACAGGCTCTGGCCAACACACAGCTGCAGCAGCCCACCGCTGCATTTTATCCGACAGGTGAGCTTCTAAACTTAAAGGAAGAGTTCACCCCAAAATCAAAAATACATATTTTTTCTCTTACCTGTAGTGCTGTTTATCAGTCTAGATTGTGTGGTGTGAGCTGTAGAGTGTTGGAGATATCAGCCATAGAGATGTCTGCCTCGAATATAATGGAACTAGATGGTACTCGGCTTGCACCAAAAACTTGACAGCAATGTCTTTTTCCCCAAAATCATGACCCGCTTATTTAAGATAATCCACAGACCTTGTTGTGAGCAGTTGTAGGAACTAGTTTCTCTCTACCAAACTATACCTGCCAACCATATCACCACACAGAAGGAAGCGTGCATCTACTCATGGAGGAGAGGCTCCTGTATGAGACAGCACATGGCATCCTCCTTGCCTGAGCTGTAATGTTAGCTAGCTCAGTGTGCTAAGTGAGCTAGCTTCCTTCTGTGTGGTGATGCAGTTGGTGTGTATAGTTCAGTAGAAAAAAAATAGTTCCTTCACGAAACTGTTCACAACAAGGTCTGTGGATTATCTTCCCTAACCAGGCCATGATTTCTGTAAAGAGACATTGATGTTTAGTTTTTTAAAATCAATTTTCTTGGCTCATTGAGCACCACAAGCTGAGTATCATCTAGTTCCATTATAGTTGAGAGAGGGCCGACATCTCTATGGCTGATATCTCCAGCACTCAGCAGCTCACACTAAAACAATCTAGACTGATAAATAGCAGCACAGGTAAGAGGAAAAATACGTATTTTTGACTTTGAACTGTCCCTTTAATGTGAACTCAAAGCTAAACATACATTTTATACAGTTTTTAAATTTCATATGTGTCTTAATTCTTTTTTTCTGGGGGTAAATACTGCTGACAAATATTATACACACTATGAACTATGATGTACAGTAGAATTTACTTTATTTAATTTGCACATCTGTTAATTCTTTACTGTCCAAACTCTTAGGTCATATTTGTGTATTCTTAATACACTAAAGACATATTCATCTCAGGTCAGTGTTTACCATATAAATATGTGTCAGTCACATTAAAATAGTCTCTCTCTGTTTGATTTTCCCACAGGTTCTGTCTTCTGCATGACCCCTGCTAACAGCGTTGGTAGGTCCCTTCATTATTATTATTCTTTTAAATACACTGTCTCATTATCAATAGAGAACACAGGTGAAACTTTCATATTAATGTTTTTGTTATTCCAGCATGCATGGGAAAGCCACATTTAAAACTAATCAGAGCAGATAATTTTATTTATTCATTTATTTTCTTCTGTAAATATTTTTGTTTGTGTTGCTTATGTGGGTGTTTTTTATCCACTGAGGTCTTAAGATAAATACTCACTTGTAATATATCAATAATCCTTTCTCAGACGTCACTTCAGGTGGTCAAACAGACGACACAAATCTGAGCTATTTGGTGGATTTTGTTGGTAGAATTGCCACGCAGCATGGTTTAGGAAATTTGCTCAGCATCCCTTTCATGTTTTTTATTTTCCTAAATGTTTTACATGATAAAAAAACTCTGATGTCTTGTAGAATTATTGCAGTACATGTCGTCTCTTTTGGGATGTCAAGTTATGGACAGATTTCCTAATTTAATCTCTTATCAGCTCTCCTTTTATGTTCTCCCCTGCTGTCTCGCTTTGCTGTGTGATCACATGCCATCTGCTGGTCTAACCCAATGATGGCTTGCTGCTAGTGTCATATTGTATTTGCCTGGCAAGAGAGAGAAGAAACATTGCTATGGTTACCATAATGCTCCACCTCCCTTTTCATTGCTTTCATGGTTCCCTTCCTGAAAAAGTCCCCATGATGTACAGTGCTACGCCTGCTACTGTCTCTGCAGCAACTACTCCTGCCACAAGTGTCCCCTACGCAGCAACAGCACCAGCCAATCAGGTTTGCTCCTTTTTAAAGCTTTCTGTCGTAGATCCTTGAGCTCTGAATAAGTGCTTCATCTTTAAACCAGGGGAGTTGCTTCATCAGCATAGCATTGCCCTGCTTGCATTGCCTGTCTTTGAGCTTCATCCACCTGTAGACCTTCAGTTGAATTAGGCTGCATTTCACCCATTTCCGTGATGACAGACATCACTTCTGTAGAAAGGTCTTCCATCTGGAAATAATGGTGTTGCATTTATTCTTTACTGCATGTTTTTTTCTTTGTTCCATGTCAGTGTCTGTTTCATTTCTCAGTATGCAGTTTCAAATGTTCTCTGAATACTTCAAACACAACGGTAGCTGATGTACATGTCATACTGGTTGCATCAATGTGATAATTGTATTATTATCATCTGTGAAACTGTCCTAGGGTTTCATTTTTATACATGACACTGTAATGAGACCTCTTTCAGGAGTGGCGATGCTAAAGGTATACTATGCAGGATTGACAGTTACTGTCTGTAAATATGCTCGCCAGCGAAACTGAAGGCAGAAGCCAACCCCAGATCACTCTCTTTTGATGTTTCACCCCGCTGTATTTACGTTTTTTCAACGCTGTTTCTCTTGGATGCCTGCTGCTTATGTTCTAACACCTGGTTGCTATGTTACCTCACCTGAATGCTGTGGGGATACACGCCCATAAACATCCTGAGCGTGGAAAATTGGAAAATACAGACAGAAGGCAATGTCTATGCAGAAAAATACACCACCACTTGTAGAGGGTCTTAAGTGATGATTGAGAGAGATTACTTCTGTGTCAGTCAACACATGGGGTGCGCCATATCATCTTGTTCACGATATTACCGGTGTAATTTTTAATATCATATGAAAAATTCGGATCATGATGCTCGCAATATTTTGACTTGCTGACATACTGACATCATACTGTTACCCATGGCAACAACAAGCATGGCTGAAAGCGAAATTATTACAGACTCTACGGTGGTTCCAAAACAAGGAGCAGCTTCAGTAGTGTGGAATAAACTGTGGCGTCGTTAGGCCGTTGTTTGTTTAGATTGTTTTTTTACTAATTTGTCATATTGTCAAGAATATCGTTATCGCAAAAACACCCTGAAATATTGTGATGATATTTGAGGACCAAATCGCCCACCCCTTATCCTGCATAGCATATCTTTAAGATGTATGTGTTATATCTGTGTCATATTGGATTCTGACACTGCTCTGTTTTGGTAGTGTCAGCCGAGCAGACTGAAACATGTGATGGTTTTGTAGACTAGAGATTGTAGAGGTGTCCATTTAAAATTTTTGGTCTTTACTTTGTTAACTCTCTTGACTTTATTAACTTAATGTGCCTACTCACTAATGGGACCATCTTTACAATTGCACATTGTGCAGCTGAGTGTTACGCAAGACTTCAAATTGCAGTGAAGTTATCCAGTGTTACACAATACTGTTTATTTTAGGCAGAAACATTCGTTTAAAGTTATCCATAATATACAGTATTTCAATTTGATGTAATGGTACAGCCATGAAAAACTTAAAGAAGTTGTTGAAGACTTGTTTTTTTCTTAATAAGATTAAAGACCTAAGGGAAAATTAAGACCAAAATCAAGAGTTTAATGGGTTAAAGGAATATGACATATCAATTACCCTATGTTACGCTGAATTCATGAAGGAAACTTTTTTCCGCCTGCCTCTGGTGAACGAAGAATCCAAAAATGGTAAACATTCTGCGTTTCACAGCAGCAAAACTGTATTAAAACATCTGTTTACAAACTCACACAACTTGTGCAGTACAATCCAAGTCTCATTTATCCAGTCGTGTGCTCAGTTCCTCCCAAACATTTTCATTTTGACTTGAGTTCAAGCGCACGCTGACTATTCCTCCATGTGTGAGGCTGTTTATAAGAATAAGTTTTACATAGTAAGGTTTAAGTGAAAATGCATGTGTTCGGGAAGTACTAATTATACTGCACGAGTTGTGTGACACTTTGTAAACGAATGTTTTGATATAGTTTTGCTGTTGTTGAACTCGATTCCACTTTCCTCTGATTCATCACAAATTTTCTCGGTTTTGGGATTCTTCATTTGTCTTAGAGGCATCTTCACAAATTCAGAGTAACACAGGGTGAGTAATTAGTGAGTAAAGTATTCTTTAACGTATTTCTTTCATTTCATTTTAGCAATTTAATGTCCATCACACTGAGCACTTTTGTCATGTAACAAAAACGCACATGGACCATGTATATCTCTGTTGTCTGCAACCACTAAGTGACTGTGTTTTGCCCCTGAAACAGATCATCCTCAAGTAACCACCAGACACAGAAGTCAGTGCCGTGTTGCTGCTGTTAAAGACGCCCAACAACTGCTCTGTAAATATTCTGTGAACACCGCACACAACCTACAACAGGCTGCATGCTGATGACATCTCTGATGAAGAGGTTGTTGACATTACTTTGATCTCTCCTAATAAATTACATAGCTCAATTACTAGGATTATTCTGTTAGATAAGAGTCACAGAAGGTTACTGTATGCACGCGTCTCTGCACCTGCATTAACATGCATCCTTAGTAATGTGCATAATATCTTGGTTTCTATTTCCTTAACCAGTTCTGACAAGGTGAGAGGTGCGTTTAGCCTCTTAATCAGCTGAAATGCAGTTCACATGTAGGATCCTCATAAATAGAGATTAACTTTTCTGAATAAATCCAACCAGAAAACACATGGAAATTAAACATAAACAGGCAGTTCAGATACAGTAACCTTATGATATTAGCTAACAAATAGAACTGTTGTTCACTGACGGTTTTAAATGTTGTACATATTACAAGAGGAAGACATAAGGCTGACAGATCTAATCTGAGATGTTAATACCAGGTATAAAGAGGTTCTATAATGGAGATTGTTAAAACTGTATCCTCAAGATATCAAGCAACAACTTACATTTACTTTCTTGAATGTGTTATGTAAACTATAAGGTTTTTCACATGAATGATTGTTTATCTATTGCTAGCTTTAATTATTTCAAACAACCTAGTAATACACACTTATTTTAACTTTCCACGTTGTAAGAAATTACACAAGCTTTCTTTAAAATGCTCTGAGGGTAGTCCATCTTTATTGTTTACCTTGTGGTCCCCAGAGAACAGGATCAGTGCTCCACCTCCTGGTGTGCCTTTGCATTGCATATAGAGTATGTTTGCTCAGAGGAAATACTGTATAATCCATTTGCTGCAGATACTTTGAACTCAAACATTTAGATCTCCCCCTCTTTATTACATAAAAAAACATCTGTTTGGATTATTGGTCACAGTGATGGTTGATTTGTTGATGTATCTGTAAGTGGTTCTCACTTCTGGAGTCGGTTTCACAAAGATAGACTTAGGATAAAGCAGTCGGTCATGTTTTATATGTCTAAATTCAGCTTTTGCACAAAGTTTTCTAGTTCTTCTTGCCTGATATCGGACAGAGTTGCCAACTTGTTACACTCTGTTACCAGTCAGATCAAACTCAAAGGAGTGTGTGGATTCAAAGGTCCTGACTGAGGCAATAGTTCTTTAGTATCTTAAGTAGGACTAATGGCTGAACAAGTAACCACATCAGTCCATGTCAAAATACGTGAGGGAGTTATGAACAACTAATCCATGCAGCAGCGTCGGGTTACTTTTCTAGTTTTGAAAGTACCTCTCATGTCACAGAAACCACTGAGAGAAACTTGTGTTATTATCATACTGTCCGTGATGTGTCTGTGTTTTTGTTCTGTTGCTCTGCACAGATCTGACACTTGTCTGCCCGCCCACCTGCTCTCATTCCTCGGCTCTCTGAAGCTCAGTGCGCCTCAGTTTCCTGGTAAAGGCGGTGGGGCAGCATGGAGGTTATCAGGGCTGCTGGTAGACAATATCCTTGTATTTTAAGGTTCATAAAATACACCCAAATTTGCGAATATGTAGAATATTACTACAGACATCCCTGTTATCTTACATCGCAATGCCTGCTGTGACAGCAGATGCTGTATTCACTCATGTCAGTGATGATGGTGTTTTACCGTCCAGGGGACGCGCCTTGGTTTTTTTTTTCCCCTGATAATGCTACATTGTGATAAAGTGATTGTGCCACTGATTGATGCTGTATTGACTCATGTCTTTTAACTTTGACCAGCAGCCGCCATTTTCCCCTCATACGTGTCATATATGTCGCACAGTTTTGTTGTTGTTTTCTGTTTTGTTCATAGTCTGAATAAGTGAGAAGAAAACATAAAAATCTTCTCAATGAAAGAGGATAACCATATTTCTCAAATTGATGAACTATTAAAGTTATACAGTAACTTCTTAAAATGTTATGGATTATCCGTAGAAATTCTATTTCTATTTTTGGTTCCATACCACTGGTCAGCAGGTGTCACTGATTGTTACCATGGGAACACTGGTTAGAAGAGGCACACTCAAATCTGAAACCGTAGAGCACCCTTTTCTTACGGTTTTCAGGTTTAATGTCATGTTTGGCCGAAACAGTGTGAAACAGCCTTCGAGGTATGTTTTCTCTCATTCGGTGAGTGTGTCGGAGGTGTTACCCAATCAGCAGCAATGTGTATTAAAGTAAAATAGATCTTTACTTATTGACCGTACTTTTTTTTGGGTTTATATTTCACACTTGCTTTGGGATTATAAACATATGTTTCCCATGCCAATTAAGCCTCTTTGAATTCAACTGAATGAAACCCCGCCACACTAAAAGGCAGTGTGCCTTTCTAACACAACAGGGTGTTCAACACTCCACCATTTACGTTTAAACAAACGTTTTGCTACATTTTGTCAGGGCTGAACGCACCCTGGGTGTCACTGATTGTTACCGTTGGACTATCTTAGTTCTGAGTTAGCCTTATGGCTAGATTTTTGGGTTCAAAGTAAGCCAGTCTTTATTTTTGTAAGACCGTCTAATTTGCATTATAGGCTGGCGTAACATTACAGACCCATCTAAAATATCTTTGTGAAACCATCTCCTGGTTTTTAAGCAGAACCTCCACAGCCATCTGAGTCAACTCAGTAATTACTACCGCTCATATTCAAAGTAAAGTCCCTGTATTAACCCTATAAGAGATGAGTAGTGTGTGAGCTGTTAGTCTTAATGTGACAGTCAGTCGTCAGTACTGTATTTGAATGTTACAAGTGCCTGAAGAATTGTGCAGATGAGGATGTTTGTGCATATTTAAAAGGCTTTGTGTGGAGAAATTACTCTAAAGTCACATTTAGGAGGAGATGTTTTGCAATACTACGTCAGTGCTTTAGTGTTTAGTCTTTCAATTAAGTTTCACTGATGCTCAAATTTGTATGTGTGTACTACAACATGTATAAGAGCTGATACCCAGCTTCATTTGTTTCACTTTTAAGATATGACCCCATTAGTTTCATGCTCAGTAAAATACTTTATGTTAGTAAAGTAGAATTTAAGGAGGTAGAAGTTTGGTGGAGTTGAGTTGTGTAGGGTTGAAACCATATTATGCAATAACCCGTCATTGTTTGAAACTGACAGAGTGGGTATTGTGTTTAGTTAAGAGAAGAACACAAGCAGATGTTAAAAAGATTTCACTCATATATTAACGTTCATCTTTTATGTAAGTTTTAGTTCCCTCTGTGCAAATATCAACCTTTCCTTTAATGTTTCTGACGTCTTTTCAAGTGACTGATGTTTTGTTTTTGTTTTTTTAATGAAAACGTGTGTACACTTTTGTGTGATTAATTCAGACAATCCACCAAGAGATTTGTTCACATTTTTTTGTTCTCATTCGTTGTGAAAAGTCTTACACATTTATTGTTTGGAATATAAGGAGTATACTTGCATATTTTACTAGTCTAACATTAGAAAGGAACACTTTTAAAATGTATTTTCTTCTATTTTATGATGAATGTAATTTATTAAACTGACTTTAGCTTCTGCTGGGGGTTCCCTCAAAGGGCCTCGATCTGTTATATTAGCCTACGATAAGCCGTCTTGTGTCCAGGGAGTGAATGTTGGGAGCAACGAGAAGCTTGAAACATTTCAGCCCCTGTCACTGCCTTGTCACCTGTGAGGGACAACGAACCTTTGTATGAGCAAGGCCATAGAACTGCTTTTTATGTACAAAAGTGCATTGTACAGGCCACATTTTATGGAGCGTAACTTTCATAATAGCGTAACAATAGTTTGTCATTTAATTGTGTTGACGTGTTGCCGAGGCAATCTGAAGTTGCAGTGGTTAAAAACTGTATTTTTGTAGGTGATGGATTTGTTTTTCCTCCTCACAATAACACATTAGATTGTACTGTCAGATAATATGCCATGGTGACACACTGTAAGTGATCCAGTGCATACAAATATACTCTGAAATGTTTTGTGTTTTATATTGTTTCCACTGCATGTTAACATCTTGCAGCAAACATATAATCCACCCTCAGAGCGTCTGCAGTCAGTTGATGGTTCAGTGGCTGTTTGAACCTTAATCTCATCATATGATTGTTTCAAAAGTTTACGTGGTTATTAGAGATATGACAAAATTTCCCTTATTTATTTTACCTGCAAATTAAAGGCATATAACCGAATGTTTATTTCACCTTTAATCAAAAAGCTTGAATGTCATGGATACACCCGCACATGGAGGTTGTTTGAGATTTTCATCCCCACATCGAAAAGATGTGGACAGTAAGAATGTTTGGTCTGAGCAACTAAAGCACTTTCACCGCCGTCAAACCGAGAGGACATGCTTTTTGTGAACTTTGCCTTATCTTTAATCTATTCCTCAGTTTGTATTTGTTCAGTAATTATAAATTTCATATTGTCTAATAAATAAAAAAAATTTCATTTAACTTTTCTGTGACGTTATTGCTACTCGAGTTTTGAATTTGAGGCCAAAATTACTTTGTAAAACAAACCCAAACTATCCTGATAGGACAAAAGGTTAAATTGCTAAATTATATTACACTTTGAAATATGCTGGTGCCATTTGGTTCCATCCTGGCCTGAATATAAACTGTCCCTCACTTTTTTGTTTTAACTTACTTGTGGAAATTATTTTTATTTGTGTATAATTAAACGTGGATAGTTTTGTTCCTGTAAATTCAAAATTGTGTAAAATCTAATATTGCAAATAAATGTCGAGTAAATGCAACGCTGTGATCTCTGTTGTTTGATTTTGTACTGTACATTCATTTTTACAGGGCAGCACGGTGGTGCAGTGGTTAGCATTGTGGCCTGAAGGTGGGGGTGCCCTTCTGTGCGGAGTTTGAAGTGGGTGGGTTTTCTCCACGTGCTCCAGCTTCCTCCGGCTTATTTGGTGACTCTAAATTGTCCGTAGGTGTGAATGTGAGTGTGAATGGTTGTCTGTCTCAATGTGTCAGCCCTGTGATAGTCTGGTGACCTGTCTAGGGTGTACCCTGCCTCTCGCCCAATGCCAGCCCCTGCGACCCCCAACAGTATAAGCGGTTACAGAAAACAAATAAATTTATTTTTACATTTTAAGTTATAAGAGGGGGAAAAAGTGAGCACACATAAACTGATTATGCCAATGGCCCATCCGACATGCCAAACAGCACCGGACACCTCTGTGGATGATTCGGCTTCTGTTAAAAACCTCCTGAAAATCTGGATCAGAAATAAGGTGAGCACTCAAGGTAATCAGACAAAAAAGGTACATTTCGGCAGGTGCTGGGCTAGCGGCCCATCTCTGACATGCCAAACAGCATAGGAGAAACACTGATTTGTACTTTGAAACTGCTTTATTCTGTATTTCTATCAGTTTAAATCCCTGGGTCGTTTAGTTTTGGAGAGGAGGACACCTCTGTGGATAATTCGGCTTGCGTTAAAAACCTCGTGTCTGGATCAGAAATAAGGTGAGCAGGTGCTGAGCTAGAGGCCTGTATCTGACTTTTTTTTTCTTTTTTTTATATACTTTATTAATCCCATTCAATTCCATTTTTTCACTCTTTCTGTCATTAACACACAGGTCTGAAAGACACACATGCACAAACAGGACCTATACATGCACAAAATGGAAAGATGTCAGAGTGAGGGGGCTGCCCTTGGTCAGGCGCCCTGAGCGGTTGGGGGGGTTCGGTGCCTTGCTCAAGGGCACCTTGGCAGTGCCCAGGAGGTGAACTGGCACCTCTCCAGCCACCAGTCTATGCTCCATATTTAGTCCGGACGGGGACTTGAACAAGTGACCCTCCGGTTCCCTACCCAAGTCCCTATGGACTGAGCTACTGCCCAAACAACATAGGAGAATCACTGATCCATACTTTGAAACTGGTTTATTCAGTGTATTTACCAGTTTAAATCACTGGATCCTTTAGTTTTGGAGAAGAGGACACCTCTGTGGATAATTCGGCTTCTGTTCAAAACCTCCTGAATGTCTGGATCAGAAATAAGGTGAGCATACAAGGTTATCAGACAACAAAAGGCCAGCACATACTGTATCAGCAGGTGCTGGGCTAGCAGCCTGTCTCTGACGTGCCAAACAGCATAGGAGAAACACCGACCAGTTTTAATCACTTGGTCTATTTTGGAGATGGAGAGACCTCTGCAGATAATTTAGCTCCTGGTAAAAACACTGAAGGAATTCTTCTTGAATTTCAACTTTATTTACTAGTTTCCACATTTAAGAAAACATATACACAAACCCCCTGGAAGCAAACAGTAAGATAAATTCCAGTAAGAAATAATAATAGACAAAGCGTGTGTATGTGTGCACAGTAGATGGTGATGACCAACAGTACTACAACCTCACAGCTGATCAAGCAGAGAATTAATAAAAGGTTGCCATACACTATTAAAACTGTCCTTAGGCCCTCGTAAAGCAAACCTTATCTTTCCTGTTTTCAAAAGTTGTAATGTAGCAGTGCAGTTTGACTGTACCTTAGGAAGATGATCGTCTTTACACTGAAGAGCAAAACTTGATGTAAGAAAAACACTGAAGGAAGTCTGCAATATTACTGCTAGATGCCACTAAATCCCCCTAAACCTTACACGTTGGACCTTAAAGACTTGTTCCATAATTAAGTTTGACAAGTTCTTATTTCAGATGTGTGTGTCTGGAGGTTTTATTCTGAGTGACTGTCTCCTGAAATTGAATTTAGAGAAGGCAGGCTTTATTTATACAGCACATTTCAAACACAGAGAGGAGATTTAACAGGCAAAGAAACAAACAATAGGAAATAAAAATCAATTAGGATCAAATGGAGTGCGTAAAATAAAATCACATTATATATAGTGGACTAGAAATACAGGCAATGATTTCCATAGGTGTAATATCTGGCAGCCTGCGCTGATACACATCTATAAATAATAAATAATTCAATCTCCTGACTCCACACTGTTAGGCAGCTTTTATAGCAGCATTCTCAAATTTGGACAGCAGCGACAAAATGCAGCGTTACCATAGCAACAGCATCCGGTGCATTTTTTTTTCCCTCCTCCTGGATACACATCCTCGAGCCGCCGCTGTGATTGGCCGAGCTCCCTTTGGATGTCACTGGGGCAACCGAATGATGGGAATTTTAACACATGAACGGAAATGCGAGCGCCGCCTGTGACTGGCTGCCTCCGTGCGGCTCCCATTCAGGCTCACGTGAGGTGTACAGGCAGCGGAGGCCGGCTATTGGACGGCTCGCACATCCGTCTGAGGAGGAGGGAGGGTCTATGAGGTTTTTTTTTTCCTCCTCTCCTTGCCTCGGTACGGGAGCCGAGCGGGGACCAGCTGGTTACGCAGCGGCCGTGGGTCTCCACCCGAGAGTATGGCGGCTGGGATTGCACTGGGAAGCGAGGGAGAAGCGGAGACATGCCAGAGGTGGTGAAAAGGAAACAAAGAGACGCAAGTTGCTTCATCAAAGGTGGAGACAGTTTGAGTTGGGGCTGTTTCCCCGACGCGCAACCGGCTTGCAACATCGCGCCTGCAGTTTATTCTAGCTGCTGAAAGCCAGCGTTTTTCCACCAGTGTCCTCGATGGAGCAAGTTTGTTTTTTTCTGATGCACACACAGGAGGTGAGCTAAGCAGATGAAAACCCGCACGCTCCACATCATCGGGCGATATCTCCTTCCTCCCCGTGCACATTTTTGGACATTTGCAGTCCTCGGATGCCCGTCTAGCTGTCAGTGTCTGGCCTGCATGGGGGAATTTCTACAATGAAATCCATCTTGGGGCACCGAGTCTTTGTGCTCTGCCATAGCTGAGCAGCAGCGGCGGCAGGAGGGGAGCAGGACTGTGTTATTGACAACCCGCTCAAAATGGGACACGAATGGTGACTGTGATTCGTGCGCGAACGTTTTGAGTTCATTTCAATGACGCGCGGAGATTTGATACCTTACGACTTGATTTAATCCACGATGCGCGAGTACAAAGTGGTGGTCCTGGGCAGCGGTGGGGTCGGGAAATCCGCCCTCACTGTGCAGTTTGTCACCGGGACGTTCATTGAGAAGTACGACCCCACTATAGAAGATTTTTACCGCAAGGAGATCGAGGTGGACTCCTCGCCCTCGGTGCTGGAGATCCTTGACACTGCTGGCACCGAGCAGTTTGCCTCCATGCGGGACCTTTACATCAAAAACGGTCAAGGATTCATACTGGTCTACAGCCTTGTCAACCAGCAAAGCTTCCAGGACATAAAGCCGATGAGGGATCAGATCATAAGAGTGAAAAGGTTGGTGAAATTACGCGCAGGGAGAAAGAGTAATGTCCAGATTGTTGAGTGTATAGCTGGCCTATCAGGCCCTGTAGTTTCAGGGTGGGCCTAGGCCTGGTCTGGGAACTGTGCTTGCATGGAGATGCATCTTCAACACAACATGCCTGCTCTATTTTGGTGTAACACACACTGCCTTTGCACTGCAGCCCCAGCAGCTATACCAGTGATCATGTGTGCTTGTCCTCACTCTCTCTGCAGACTTTGTTTTTAGGCATTTTAGGAATGACAGTAAGTAGCAGGGCAACAGTGCTGATCCACTCTGTCCGTCAGCGCTGTGAAGACCAGCCAGTCCTCCCCCGTCATAACATGCTAGACGCTGTCTGTGATCTGCCAAGCTGCTGCCCACTGTGCCGGATGCTGCAACCCCTGTGAAACACCGAGCCGGGGATACCCAGGATTCAGTGCAACAGAGGCTCTGCAGAGAGAGCTTCAAGGAAGCACAGCTCAAAATACTGTCTGTAAGGGTTGGGGGGGGGCACACTTAATGTGAGGCCGGCTGCTGCGGAGGAGAAGAAGCCATGTTTTTAATTAACCAGCTGCACAAGCTCTTTAGGAAGAGCGGCACAATTGAAAGCGTGAAATCGTCTGATGTCTGAGAACTGTTACACAGATGATCCAGATATGAGGTCACCGGAGTGAGCCGCTGATTGATACGCGGGAGAGGTTAGCTGAGGCTGTGTGGTTCTGCTGTCATGTTCCTTAGCTCCAGACCAACATGCTGTGAAGACACGCTGTGCTGTACATCCACCTGGCGACATGGCATGATGTTGAATAAGCGAGAGCCTAAATGGAGTGTCACACAGTGGATGATGCTGCTTAGATTATTGGTGGCAGCAGCACACACTGGACTGTGACTGCGTGGGTTCATCAGTCATTGTAGGTGTCAGTGGTTGTGTTACAGTCAATGCAGGGAGTCCAGTGGGCTCCAGAGAGGGAGGAGGCTGGTCTAATGAAGAAGCATATTTAACACGGTGCAGCTTAAAGCTCACACTGTTTACTGATACAGCTAATTACTTCAGATAATGCTCAGCACAAGGACAGTGCAGCCACACCAGACGTGTTTCTGTCTCTGTCGTTTTCCATCCTGTAACCTAAAAAATGAAATTTAACCACCGTACAGATGCTTGTTTTTGTTTCCTTTAGTCTCTGTCACCTAATTGGCTGTTTTTCAAATGCACCTTATAAACAATCCTATAAATCTGTGGCTCCAGATGAAAGAATGAGGTCAACATGTTTCCCCCATATGAGTTGAGAACGAGGAGAGGTGTGTTCAGTCTACAGTGTCTGTGTATGTGTGTGTGTGTGTGGTGTGTGTTTGTATGTAAATGTATACATGTGTGCTCGCACAGCAGATGCAGCCAGGCTGTTATGTGATTTCACACTTAGCACTGAGTGTGGTGCTGCTCTCTAATGTCCCAGCAGAATTTATTTTCTTTAGCGAAAACATCACACTTCACATGCTACTCCTACACGATGGTGCATTTCAGAGTCCTCTGCTTCATGTGGAACCAGACAGCTAAACTTTAGATTGTGTTTTAGAGCTCCACTGTGCAGAATTTAGGGGGATGTAGAAATGGAAGTGTGTTTCCTTTAGTGTATAATCACCTAAAAATAAAAATTGTTGTGTTTTCGTTACCTTAGAGCAGGTCCTCATTTATGGAAATCGCCATGTTGCATTGCTGTTTTCCTGCAGTAGCCCAGAACAGACAAACTAAACACTGACTCTAGATTTTCATGTCAGCGACTGTAGTTAGCAGCCCCTCTGCTTTATTCAGTGTTTTTACCGGTTTAAATAACTAGGTCTGTTTGTTTTTGAGTGGACTAGAGCTCTGCTGATGATTCAGCTCACTGTAAAAAACTTCTGAACACTGAACACTAAAAGAACTTAAACAGTGAGAAGTTTCAGCCGGTTGCAATGTGCAACCCTCACCACTAGATGCCACTAAATCCCCTGAAATCTTACACAGTGCTCCTTTAAACAGGCGAGTTAAAAATGTCAGGTCATTGTTAGTCTTAAATTGACCCCCTGGATGCAGACTGGCCAATCATAACGTAGCATGGGGCCGGCTCGGACCAGGGTCTGACAACAACACAGCTGTACTCCATTGACTCTAATGTAGTTGTTTCAGATTCTCTTCATTTTCAGGCTGGTTTTGAGGACTTGGAGCTAAATGTTGTGCCTGGGGCACGTTGTTTATTAATGATACTCGTTACCTGGTGAGGTTGGAAAAAGATATACGTTTCTTCCCTGTTCCAAAACCAAAATCGAACCCTGAAAAGTGTAGGGTTAGCTAGCTAGCTACTGAAGATATAGCCTACTGAATGTATACACATGCTGCTTTTGCTCTTTAATGATTATAACAGTGAAAAAAATACAGACCCTGCTGTACAGGAACCAGTGAAGGGAAGCAGGGAAACTTTGCTGATATTCAACCAGCTGTGTGTCATCACATTGTGTGCAGATGAATGTTGTTTGACTTCCCCTGGAGATCCCTGCCCATCTGGCAGCCGCACGGGGGTGAAGCCAAACACCGTTCATCTGCACACACTGTGATGCCACACAGCTGGTTCAATATCAGCAAAGTTTCCCTTTATATTCATTGTGTTCTGTGGTGATCAGCAGTGATGTGGTGGTTCACTTTTACACTGTGATCTGTAGCCTATAGTTCGGCTTTAGCTTCTAACTATCTTTGTCTTTTTAACCTGTTGTTGCTGCTGAGTCAGTTTGCGAAAGGTCAATTCAGTTTCCTGTGTGCAGTTTTCCTTGAATAGAGTTTGTTCTGAATGAAAGTCTGCACATTTCTTTGACAGAATTTCTCTTGATCTGTTTTAAAGAAAAGATGAATCAAAGACTTGCTCAGAAATTAGCATCCTCTAGCCTTGCAACAGAAAACATTTCATTGAGAGATTATGCTGAAGATCAGAAGAGGTTTGCTTTACTCAGCCGGGTGTTACAGATGAGGTCTGAACAAACTAAAGCTGTTTGTACGCAGCCTATTCAAACCTACACACACAAGATTTCTGTTATTAAAAGCTTCTGTTGACAGCAGTTACATAAGTTGACTTCTGCTCCTGAGACGTTGTAGATATACTGTATATGGTAAACTCAACACGTACGTCTAAAACGGCACAAACAAAGACTGTTTCCTTTTTTTAGTCGACATGATCTCATTGGGTACACACTGTACGGCAGCCCAGCTCTTATACACATCAAAGATCAATACAAGAACCACACAGTGTATTTATTTCTAAACACATCTCACCCAAAAGCATGAGTGTCAGTCATTGTTTCTCCTGTTGCTGAAAGTAAGTGCAGCACTGTTTAGATGAAAGCCAAGTTGTATCCATAGCACCAGTAGCATAGTGCTCTTTGATCAGATGTTGGCTGGATATAATGTGCCGCATTTTAAAGACAAAGTTGTTTGTAGTTGTATTTCAGAAGTTTGTTGGTTGTTAAGGCCCAGACACACCAAACTGAAATCAAAGAACTAGTGGCAATGAAGGCCAACCTTATTGTTGCCTCATGTCACCTTTGTCTCAGCCAAATAGCTGCACCTGGACACATCACAAAAACAAAACTAGCACGTACGTTCTGTGCCTGCATGAGAAGAAATAAGTCTCCATACCAGCAGGCAGCAGTAGTCTTTATTCGTCGTAAAACAGGGAAACGAGAAGACCGACAGGATGGATTTAAGATGTTAGTTAGCCAGTTAGCACATTAACAACACAACCCGGTGCTGAAAGAGCAAATGATATTTACCGTGCGCCATTGTACAACAACATTCCAACTGTCTCCATGGCTGAAAAGATAATCTTATCTAACATAACAAGCTTGTTTTGATCTCACGTCCTCTGGACTTCAGCTGTTTGTTTACTTTCCTCACTTCCGTTTCTCTTCTCATGCTCTGAGCAGAACTGCCAATCAAAGTGACTTCATTCACTGACCCGCTTTGCTGTCTCTGATGCTAATTCGCCATGCTGAATCGGCCAAAAAAAAGCAGACAAGGACCGACTTGTGCCAACAGTGCAGGACACACTGCCAAAACTGTGGTGACAGACAGCTGGCCATCAGGGCCCTGAAAGGGGTCTCATATAAATACAAGTACATGAACCAAAATACAGTTCATGCACTCACATACTTGCCCATTTATGTACACATTTTAAATGATTCCCAACATTAGAATTATATAAGATTCTGGGTCCTTTATGGTGTTGTTTTCTCGTTGTGTTTTAGCTTTCACGGATAACTGACCAAATGTAGAAAACGTGATTCTAGGTTTCCCATTTTGCATCACTTCTCAGTAGTTACACCATGAGGAATCCAGACAACAGCTCATAATGCCACGCCATATTAAGACATTTTATGTTTAATATAACAGGTGCTTTCCTGACTTGAAAAAAAAAAAGTTGAAAAAAGACCTGCTTATTGCTCCCATGAAGCAGAAATGCAACAAGTTGAGGCATGCATGTTCTGTGGGCTGGCCGAAGGGCATCATGGGAAATGTAGGAAATCAGTAAATGCAGTTGGAGAGTACCAGACAGGTCGAGGCATCAAAAGGAACGGAGACATCAAAAAAAGAGTCATTAAAGCACAGACTGATGAGAGAAAATCATGACAACATCAGAAAAAGGGTGGAATTTTCCATAGCTGATAAGTAAATAAAAGAGTAAATGATTCAAATGAAAATAATCTGCAACTATTTCGAGAACTGATTAATCATTTCAAGAAAGAATAGTGAAGAAATCCTACAAATATTCAGGCTCCAGCTTCTCAGATGGGAGGATTAGCTGCTTCTCTTTGTCGTTCATCATCGTAAACGTAATATCTTTTGAATTTTGGGCAGAGCAAGACGTGAAGACGCCACCTTGGGCTCTGGGACGTTGTGATTGGGATATTTTTAATCATTTTTTGTACGTAAACCAAACAAAAATATAATCAGCGTATGATTGCATAATGA